TTCCTTCCACAAATCTCGAGATATCCTGAAAAACACAGAATCAGATTATACGCAAGTTTGTGTTATCTCTTGTCGGCTACCGTATATAGCCTTTTTGCTAGAATTATCACGAGGATCCAAAGAGAGTAGAAAAAAAAGAAAGAAGAGGAAGAGGAGATCAGTAGAACCATGCCGCAGTTGTCGTCCTCCTACTAATTTTTTTCTCGCATGTCTGTTTGTTGTACGTCCATGTACTTCTCTGGCACTTGCTCACGAAAAGCAGCAGTCTTCTTGCGTATGAACGGTATGCAAAGTTCTTTTCTCTATTTCCCTCAAGTAACCTTTCTTGTACGCGTGCGTATGAGCATACACACACATACACGTAAACACATATATAGAATACACATACACAATCAGTGGTTACGGTGTTCAAGGCATAGACCTCATTTACGGTCTCAGACGCGACGCAACCGATGAATTCTGTATTGCATCGTTGACGAGCGCTTCTCGAGTTTGAATGCATTGTGATTGCATTGTGCAGTAGAATAGACCTTCTTGCTCCGATACATCCGTTCCTTCCTGACAGGACACATATTGTGAGAATGAAAATCTTTTTTCCGTTTGCCCGCATATAGAGAACGGGAAGGAGATAAATAGACAAAGAAATAGAAAGTCTCGTGATCTATCCTCAACATATACACTCCAAACTTCCTACGAATTACTTTAAACGGTTGAAATTTTAATGCCTCTCTCATCGTAGCTTAGACCGTCTTCCGATAGGAATTACGATCCTAATCGCTACGGCGCTATCCTCAAGAGACTCTTCGAGCTTTTAGTACCACCAACTATTTACGGCACGTGGTAGAAGAGACTCTTTCTCTCGTTAGTCGTTAGTCGTTAGAAAATATAGCAGAATCCTTTACCTCAGTGACCGTCCTCGGTTTATCGACGGTAAAATATTTTTTTATCTCAACCAGAGGTTATTGTATCTTTCATCGAAATCGAGTTAATTCGTGCTGACGACTCGCATAGATAGAGGTAGGGATAGTTAAGGGGTTCCTTTTAACCGTCTACCATCTCGTGTCTCGAGGACGACTACTATTACTACTACTACTACTACTACTACTACTACTACAACGACGGTGCAAGGTACCGATGTTGATTAGGTCGAAACGTACGATTCGAAGTACGGCCTCGAGTACTTACCTTTAGCCGCGAGACTCGATTGCCTTTCTCAGAATTAGATAAGTCCCTTTATTGGTGATCGGATCACTGCGGGAGCGGCAGTGCCAGCAGCAAGTTCAAGGTTACCTCGTTAAAAATAGCCAAGCTTGGCAAAGTCAAGAGGAGATAAAAATGGTGGCGGGGAGGTAGAATCAGAAATGTAGAAAGAGAATGACTGTAGTTGCTTACTGCTTCTATTACAACTAGAACTTATCCGGAAATGTACTGAAAAGTATAAATCTACCAACCGATCAGTCGATTCATGATAATCAATTGATCGATCGATCGATTTCCGATGAATTTTGATTAGTATCCGATAGATCTTGAAGGAAATCTTTGATAAAACCGTACTTTAATAAATTACACTAAAGGAAATATTTCCATATAAATATAATAATAATCATTTGATGAAATAAAAATTATTAAATAAATAAAAATAAAATATGTGTACAAGACTTCTAAAAAATAAAATGTAACCCTAATGACAAGAGCTCCATAAAGATTAATGACGGTTTTCACAATTTACAAAAAACATAATAAGTGATTTCTGCAAGAGATGATTGTTCAAATAAACGAACACGAACTTGTTTCCATGAACGAACACGCTCGCGCGTGCACGCTTTTAATGTCTTACCTGATGCTAGGTAGGTATAAGCAAATTGAGTGTGTCAACGTTTTTGCCACGCGATCTACGCTTAGCGTCATTCCTCGGTCGTGCTTTATGACTCTAAATATTGTAAAATGGGTAAAGAGCACGTCAGACGTGCACGAATTTCTTTACGTGACTCTGCATTCGTAAAGACAAATAATAATCGCGATAACTCGACTTCATCATGACATATGTATACGATCGATAGTTTGAATATTTATTACTACAAAAAATAGTGAGTACAATAATATATTTAAAAAACCTTACAAAATAAAACGTTCGTCAGTTGATGTGTTTATAATCGTAGATCCTGGAAGAGAGGGCTTACAAATTTGTTCAATTTTTTACTGTCATAATTCATTAAAATATTTAATTGATAATAATCTGTATTCGTTCATGTAATTCATAAAAAAAATGCTTGCCGCGTAACTCTTCCAATCCACAATTCTACAAAAACAGACTGAAACGAACAAAAGATATTTACCTACCGGCAGTTCGACGCTTTCAAAAGGATTAGTTTATATGATATAATAACAGTGTGGTCAACGTCACTTTTTATTAGATAATCAAAGTAATAACACTATAATTGCAACACTTCTCATGAATGATTATTTAATCATAATATATGATTAGTTTCAAATTTCTGTTACACGTTTCTGTTGTCACAGTCATCGTCATCGTCATCGTCATCGTCATCGTCATCGTGATTGTCATTGTCATTGCCATCGTCATCGTCATCGTTGTCATAACTGTCGACAGTAAAAATTATGCATTACCAAGCAATATTTTTCGTCGATTTGACATAATGTTTATTCTCATTGCATTGATGAAACTTTGTTCCTGAGAAGCAATACAAATGAATTACTTTCTGACCTCCAACCCAACAGGAGTGTCTTTTTATCACTTAACATACCATGATATACCGTGAACGTCTTCGATAAAACCGGTGACGAGTAAAATGCATACATTTTTTATAATACGCATATTTATATTTATGTATAGGTACACTTACGGTACAAGGGCAAAAATTGGATATAAGGATTGTATATAATGCAATCCGATCATCCTATTTCCTCCCTCGGTTCTACCCACTTCTAAAAATTATAACGTCGACGAGATCGTCGTTGATATCCTAATCATATATTTATTTTTGTCTACCTACTCGCAGGAAATGTATACCTTTCTCATTTCTGAACGTAGAATCAATCACATAAGATACGACATCAGAATTATTATTTTCTTTTTATAAGAAAAAAAAACACACACACAAAAAGCAAAAAAAAAGAGATAATAATTATACATATATATATATATAAGAAATTCAGTTGAAGTGATTGGATTTCTGATGTTGTTTGACATAACAGAAAAATTAATTCAAAACTAATGAATTACTATTTTAGTTAATGAAAGAAGGACGAGGATTTGTTCGCAAGGCTCAATTGATAACGAGCAAACTTGCTCTATTGCAACTATTAAGAGAAAGAGGGGAAAAAAATTTAGAGAGAAAAAAAAAATAAAATAAAAATTGTATATATATATATATATACAAAAATAAAATTTGGTATACGTATTAAACTAAAGCGATTATATTATTGTGAATAATTCACTCTTTCTCGATATCACGTATTTCTTTCCTCTTTTCTTCCTTCTTCGTGTATCTTTCTCTCGCTATCTTACGTGATTGATTCTTCTCGAAGTTCTTTTTTCTATGATTATTTATAATTTCAGAACATGATCATATTTATCGCGTTCTATCGTATCCTTTCTTTCCTTCATTTTTATATTATAATTTTTTTTGTTATATTATTTAGTTTAAAAACTACTATAATAGATATACTAACAATAAGAAATAAGTAAAAACAATTGTCTGCTGTTGCTTCTAACATGTGCACAACAGTGAAATACATTTTTTTCTATGCTCTTCGTCTTCTTTGAAAATGAAGATATATTTGCAGGGCATAGTTAAAGAGTAAATGAATAAGAAGAAGAAGAAGAAGAAGAAAAAGAAGAAGAAAGAGAAGTAGAAAAAATACGAAAAGACTAGTAAAAAGTGAAAAGGCTAAAAGAAACTAGGAAATCACTTTCGATAAACTTTGAAAATAATTAAAATAGATTCGAATGCTACTTGTATAATATACTTTTAGATCTTTTGAGGTAATACCCGAAAGTATTTAATTAAGCAAAACTTTCTGTGCATATCTAATAATAAATATTAATAAGAAGTTATCATTTTGAACTATACACAAAATTATTCGCATAATTTCAATAAATTATACATTCTTCTCTAATAATTAAGAAATTTGTTTTCTTTTTTCGTTCACTTTCTTCCTTGACAATTAATTTCTTTCATTCTACTTTTGTCTCGTTATTTTTTTAAACTAATTCTCTTAGCTTCTTCTTTTTCTCTTTCTCTCTATCGTTTATTTTTTGTATTATCGTGTGCATATTTCTCTCTCTCTCTCTCTCTCCCTCTCTCTCATACAATCACTAAAGATCTTTAAGTAATTACAATTTCGTCAAAAAATAGGACGTTATTCTTTTACTCTCTTTAAATCTTTCATGCTCAATCCTCTCTATAATAATTTTTTGATTCATATGATTTTCCTTGTTGTTCTCTTTTTTTATTTTCTTATCTCTCTTTCTTTCTCTCTCTCTCTTACACGCTCTCATTTATTTAAAATCGTTTAAAAGCCACGAATATAGAAATAACGCTCGGTAGAAAAAGTTTATAACTACGCCGCAAGCAATCGATTGCAGAGTGTAACTTGAGTTGTATATTCTATAATAATTCGTACACTTTTTTTACCAAACGTTAAAATGTTTTTGTAAATTAATCGAACATAGTCACAACAAATTAGTATAGTCTTTGCCAATCAATTCTTACTGTTCGGAATGTTAACAACTTCTGATAATATTCTTTCCTTCATTCTTTATTTCCACGTAACAAATTTTTGTCATTAAAGCTCACAAATAAGAAAGGTTACGATACTAATTGTAAATAATCATGATTATTGTTCCTGCTTAAATCAATGTATACTTTTCTATTATAATGACTTGTCTTATTACTAATCACTAAATTTTACAAGAACAATTGTGGTAAATTACAAATAAGGGAAAAGCATACGGTGCGAGCAACGTGTACGTTCTATTTTTTTTTTCTCGTTACGATCGATTTTCTCCGTCTTACAGAATTATTACCATCTAATCAGCCTTTACTTCGTACAATTCGGTGCTTTTATTATTATTCATTTAAACGATTTAATAATATATCACTGATAAAATACATATAATGCATATATGTATATACATATAAGTACGAACAGTGGTATAATTTTTTGCAGATACTATGAAACGTAACGAAAGAAAACTAGCTCTCCCGAAGGCTTTCATTATATTTTTTCTAATTAACATCTAAATAATATTTAATTAAACAGGGTAAAGTTAAAAGTAAATTAGTGTCTCGTACAGAATATTTCAGTATTTGAAAACTAAATTACATTTCTAATCTATTAATAAAAATACTTTTATTATTATTTTTTTTTTATTTAAAAAGAAAAAAAAATCGGGACTAAAAGAGAACCATTGATAATACATCATCGCAGCCATATCAGTGACTCTACGAAACCGATAAATGTAAACGCGACTAAAAGAATGAATAAAAAGAATATTTTAATAGCGTTTAACGTCATTTAAAAACTGGAATAAAAAAGATACTACCCAGATTATTATAAATGTTTTTATAATTGAACTACTCTGTATGAGGATATATCAAACAAGAAGAGATTAAAAAAGAAAAATGACAGAAATATAAAGAAAAGAAGAGACATGACTTGCGCCAATCGCACAATCTACAACGAGTGCAATATATATTTAGTGCAGACATTGTAGAATATATGCAAAATATTCAAAACTTGTACAAATATGTATTCATACAAATACGATTTAAAAGGATGATATACAACAAATTCGGTCACAATAGATGACCCTCTTTGATAAAACGAGCCTAAGAAGAATAAAATGTGTAAAAACTGTCAAGATTCAATATTCTTGCTAACATTTGTTTCTTTTTTTTTCTCTTTCCTTGTTTTCTGTCTCTTTAACATTCCCAACTTTTGATTAACCGCTTCCATTTATTCGTATTTTTAAGCAAACACTTTTCCTGAACACGGTCCTATCAAATCTACTTTCCCTTAAGAACCGGACTTAATATCTCATGATCGATACTTTCCTTACGTTCGTTTTATCTAGATTTTTCTTGAAATATCTTAAGTAAAGGAGAATACGGAGAAATTAGCATTCAGAAATGCAATGAAAAGTATTGCGGTCTCAGAATCTGTAAAAAGGTATCTTTAAACTGAAGATTTGAATATATCATTTAGGTTAAATACTTAACGCTCTGTATTCTCGGCAGCTTCTACTATTTTTTTTTTTTTTTTTTTTTTTTAATTTACTATGTTTAAAGCGAACGTGCAGAACCTTGTACAAACATTGTGACTAATGTTTGAACATTTTTGCAAAGAGGAACAAAAACAACAGAAAGAGTAACGACCACGCGATATGTAAGTTCGAGTTTCTTTCTTTCGTTTTGCTTCTATTTTTCCTTTTTTTTAAAGGGGATGAACTTACGTAAAAATAAAAAATAAAAACACGTTTTTCGTTAACGCGTTTTTCCTTTACAAAGGATTTATTGGTTCAACAATGTGAAGAGAAACGCTCTTCTTTTTCTCTTTTCCTCTCTTCTTTGCTGTACTCTTGGTCTAAGTTTATGGTCTCAGTTTGCGCGGCGGGGAACGGGATATTTGTTTCATCAGTGGGAATATTTGGTCACGAAGTTATAGTCGTCTCAACCGAGGCCAGCCCATTCCATGAAGTCGGGTACCTCTCTCACCGGCACGTCCCTAGCGAGGGCTTTCACTCTCAGATTTCTGTCTTCCGTCAACAGCACGACTTCTCTCTTCAGACGTCGGGGCTGGTGATTCTCCTCTGTCGAGGTAAGATAAATTAGATTTTGTGAGCCTACGAAAAAATGGGCTCCGACTGAACCAGGATTTAAATTCGATTTCCCGTATTTTATGTTTGCTACACTCGCAACTAAACTACCCTTCTCATCCTCCGCCCCAAAAATACCCAATTTCCATTATTTCATAGTTTCTATAAGACTAATATAACTGGTGTCTTATAATTTTTTGTTTTTTCTTTTCATTTTTTTTTTTTTACAGAATTAAGTTATCTACATTTATCACTTATTGGATAGGTTATTATTGATATCAGTTATTAATTTGAAACAAAATTAGAATTATTTACTTATTCTAATTTAATAAGTTATTTAAATCAAATTTTTGAAGATTAATTAAACTGATTATCAACGAATGTACAAAATTCAACATACCTGGATTATTAAGTTCTTTGATGCCTGTTCTACACAAACTCAAGCACGTAGCCAGAATTCTGTCATCATTTCTAGTCAATTTATCCTGCAACGAACATCAAAGAAAAAGTTAACGTTGTTAAATCTCGTTCTATCGTTTATTCCAACGTTCGACTATCTCTGATTTGAAACTTTAAGAAATGTTCGAAAAACCGGGGTGAGAAAGTAGAGAAAACCAGACAGGCAATAGACACGACAAAAAGAAATAATAACGAAGGGATTCTCGTTATCATGTCTCTCGACAAACCGAGTTTCGTGTTTGCAAACATATCAGAATCGTATATCCGATATATTACTATGAAGAAATACTGTAGAAATCACAAATGCGTGTTTCGCACTACAATTTATTTCCCATCGAAAAGTATCCATCTTTCCTATACGATATAAGAGAATTTCTTGGGTACTCTCGATTCCTTATCATAAAATTTGTACTTCAATGAACACCGATCTGTAATCCCTTTTCCTCTCTTCTTCTGCACCCTCTTTACTTCTTTGCATGCGTGAAAGATAGAATGGCTCCCTTTTTCTTTCTATTGATTTTTTTTTTTCTAGACCTATCAGAATGATAGGACTGAATTCCGATCTCTTGTATGACTTTTCTTACATCCAGGAAGCCGCAAATCAAAGATAATAAATAAAATAACTTAACAAAAAATTAAATTAAAAGTATTTGTCCTATCGCAGGACAATGTTGCTGAATCTATCTGCATGTTTGCGCATGCGCATAAGCGAATATTCTAGTCTGCGATAACGGCAGGAAGTAGTATACGGTATCTAACATGGTCTTAATCATATTTAAACAGATCGAGTCTTGTTAAAAAAATAGAAACCGTATATCCGCATTAAGATAGTGCTATTTCTATCGAGAGAAAAAAGAAGTGATAATGGATGCTTGTATAATAATTTAAAATGCTTTTTTGTTCTGTTTCAGCTAACTGTACTCATGAAAATTTATGTACTGATCCAGTATAAACTAAGATAAAAGTTATAAGTATTCATGTTATTTTAACGAATTCGATGATTTTTATTGATAATAAATAATTATTCATCGATTGGATGGATAAAAGCTGCTAATGATGAAAATAAGAGATCAATAATTTACCTTATCGACGTCTTCTTCAACGGTAAAGGTACTGGAAGTTAAGACGGTTCCTCTCGTGGTCAAACATCGAATCGCCGGGTTTCGGCTTCTAGCAAATGCCAATGCAGCTTTTGCACTTTCTGCCACTCTGGCTACATGTTCAGGATTCAAAGTCGCTCTCGACGCCGGTGGGCAATCCCTGGCATCGGCGCCTCTTGTCAAACCTTCCAATTCGTTTAGAACTGTAACAAAGTTTCATTTGTGAAAAAAATTCATTTACTTTTGATCTTCAGACAAAAGTCTTTTGTTCGATGATGATCCCAAGATTTCCGCCGTATCGCATCAAATACATTCATGAGATTACCGATAATGTTTCTTTTACAGCATCTTTTCGGCGATACATAGAAAAAGAAAAAGAGAGAGACCGAGTACGAGCAAGTTTTAAATGGAAGTTAAATGAAGGAATTCGCGTTAATACTGTTAACTAAAAACTTTCGTCGTCCAACCTTTTTGTGAAGTTCTATTTCGCATATTTACTATTATCCTGAAAACCGGTTTCTCAGACTTTCCAGAAAAAAACTCATTTTCTTTAGTATCATTAAGAAGGCTTAGAGAAGATGGAAAGAACTTCTGACAAACTTAACAGGAATTTCTTTGCCTTCATGTTCGTGCGGATATTCTTCTTATATAACCATTTTTTAAAAGAGAAAACTTTAACAAAATTTACGTAAAAAGTAACAGGATTTGCTACCATCTATACAAATAAAAACGACGACTTTTGATCTTAGAATATTACCTAAACTCTTCATAATATTTAAATATAATAATTTAAACATTACGAAATAAATGTCGTAGGATAAGAAGTGCCTAAACGATAATGGATTGATTGTTAAAATAATAATATTAAAAAAAATATCATGTGGGCAGATCACACGTGTTAGAAGTGAAACCTTCGAAAAACTAAGTTTCGAGAGAAAGAGACAACTGCAGAATATCAGGAATAGGATAATTGTTGGGTTTATTTGTTATAATATTATTATTATATTATTGTTATCACATTCAAAAATTATTATACATTTTATTGAAAACATATATAAATAGATAACATATTACACAGCAAGCAAGTTCTCAATTCAAAAAAAATAAGACAAGTTGCTTCTGGTAACTTAAAAATGCATGGTAACAAAACACCTCTGTTAGTCTAGTAAAAACCTCACTACTTTTCGGAAAAAACCTCACTACTTTTCGGAATATAATATAAGAATATATTATAAGAAAAACTGTATAGCTATATTCCGTCTCATTCCCTCGCAGTCTAAATCCTATGTTTGTCTCTTTTTCTCTCATTATTTAGTATGGCAACCGTTTCATAGCTTCGTTACATAACTCCGTTTCCGTTTATTTACTTTTCAGATCACTCCCATTCTAAAGAAGTTTTCACTTAAAAAAAAAAACAATTACAGAGGAGATTGAAAAAGATGAAATGTAACTGGTGTGAAAATGTTTCAGTAGATTTTCTTTTGAAATCAAAGGTCAAGTAAATGAGGTAGTCTTTTCGAGCAAAATAGTAGAGACTACTAGCATCGATGGTGATGAAGTTCAAAGGAACACGACGGGCCACAGGTTTGAAACATGGGTGCTCACGCAGTCGAATGGCAGAGCAAGTAGAGCGTCGCACACCGAAGTGGCACCAGTACGGCCAGTCTCTTCGTCGTCGGCCAATCGTCCCTCGTTTCAGACCGCACATACATGCATTCATGTATGAGCCGTGAGAACCTAACTGTGAACGCTCAGCGTGGTCCGTTGTCGGAGCCAGACAGACCGTGGCCGGCCGGTGAGGTCAAAGGGCAGCGCGGCAGTCGATTTTGCATGAAGACGTACTTTCGTTTTTCGGTCTCCCTCTTCCTTCCCTTATATACACGACAAAATATACGTGTATATGTGTGTATTAGTCTATGTATGTACGCACAACGAACTAACGACTCTTGTTTCTCTTTTCTCCTTCCCACTTGGCAACGCACGTATCATATAAACCGTAGATGACAGAAAGGATGGCTGTTCGCGGTACAAGGATACATTTGGCGAAGCTGGCGAAGAAAAATCGAGAATTACTTTTTCGAATGATATTTTTTTGGTTACCTTCTTGCAGTGGATGCGTTTAAATTTTGCCTACATGAATTACTGTATATTAGTGGAACGAATGGTTGAATATAACGATTTATTAAGATTCTTATTATTAAGGGTGGAACTCTTTGAAGAAGGGTCAAAAGATCAAAAATAATTCTTAAATTTTTCTGATAAATTCATATACACATTGTAACCCATTTAAAGTTAGCTACCTAAATATTTCCTTTAGTTGTAATGTTAAATCAAATAATTTGGTACCAAATGACGAATGCACGAGAAAAGATATGTTTCGACCAACGTCATATTTTTTTTAACAATTTTTAAGATTTATTATAATTTACACGGACAATCTTACGTAAGATACGTGGCACAGAAGTATTGATCAAATATACCGTTCGTCGGAATTTTACACGTTACTCGATTGATAAAAACAATAGATAATCACTTTAGTTGTTTCAGGGAGAGAAAGAGAGAGAAGGAGAAGAAAATAAGAAAAAGAAAGACATATATATATACTTATGCTCGCTAGGCGATCGGATCGCGATACGAGATGGTACCCCACGAAAGATGCAAATGGAGTTTGGGTAAACTTTCTTCGGCCCAATAAATTAAGTGTCTACCAGCCGTATCCTCTTCCCAGACAATTCACGGCAAATCGAGGGAGGAAAAGAGAAGATGTATTCCAAGAGGACTCGATCGAAATTCCAAAGAAAGGAAGATGGAGATAGAAAGAGAGAGAGAGAGAGAGAGAAAAAGAGGGGAAAGAAAATGCGTAAACCCTTCTTGTTTTCTCAAATAAATCGTTTGCTACTAACATTAAGGGTTACTATCATCGAAAAACTTCTCGAGTAGACATGTTTTTCTGTTTTGCATGCTTATTTTGTTTCTTCTTTATCTCCTCTTTCTCTTTTCCTTTTGTTTTTTTTTTTTTGGTTTTATTTTATCTCATTTATTCTTGAAATTCGATAATCGTAAGTTTGATTATAACTACGGTGAACAAATAAATTAATAGAAGAAAGAAGAAATATCAATGCTACTTTTTCATGTTTCTCTATAAAGAACGATTATAACACAGACAATAAATTTATGGAAACATATGAAATTATTTTCAGAGTATGACAGTAATCCTTTCATCCTTCCCGATAAGCATTAAATAGACACACGAAAAATATAAAATAAATAATAATTTATAATAATAGAAAAAGATCAATTTCATATAAAGAGAAAAAATATTATAAAACTTCTGAAATGGTATAATTCTTTTTATAAAGAAATAAAAAATAAAAAAAATCTTTCTTCTTATAAATGGACATTTATAAGAAGAAATAAGAAAATCATTACCAAAGACACTGCGATTGATCCGCATTGAAACTCTTCTATTTTTATTCAACAAAAGTGTAGAGGTGGCAAGTAGCCAATGAAAAGGATCAAAGACCCTTCTTCTCTCACTTCTTCCCCTTTTTTATAGTCGATTATTTTATACGCTCCCCAGGCTCGCAAGGGATATTATTTTGGGCAGGGTTGCAGCATGATTCTCTCTCTCTCTCTCTCTCTCTCTCTCTCTCTCTCTCTCTCTCTTTTTTACCGTCTCCCTTTTCGATCGGATAATCGATAAACTTCGGTAAAAAAAAAAAAAAAGAAAAAATAACCGCTGAGGTCGCGGGTCAATCGACCCCTACGGTTGCTCATGGCTATCTATCTCTCTATTTTTTTATTTTTTTCAGTCCATTCGTATACCTTGTACACGAGTAGATTTCAAATTAAGCAACGCAAAACTCGATATCCCCACTGGACCTTTCATATCCCAAAAATTAACGCAATTGTCATCATAAAATTGGCTACGATAAAAAAATAAACTCGTTTTTAATTAAAAATCAACATGATTTGTCTATCTCTCTTTCTCTCTTGTTTTCTTTTTTTCTACGATTTCTTGTAATGGAAAATATACATTTTAAATAGAGTCAAAATCGATAAAAATAGGATAGTATCATTTTCTGAAAGAAGTATTATCGATAATTTTTCTTTTTTTTTTTTTCATTTCTTACATTTCATTATGAAAAATTCTAAAATTGTATCTTCTGTGTTGCCGTTAAAAATGCTCATGTCAGACGAATACTAATAATTATAAACAATTCAAATACTTTATTTTAGTATATTTATATTCTCCAAGAAGTATTTCATCACCTTTTATGCATTCCTATTTCAGTAATTAAAATTCTAAAAATGTTAATCTCTAAATCTTTTAAGATAAATCCAAAATGTTTTTTTTAAAAAGTGTAATAATAGATTATTTTTTGAAATATTTAACGTAAGTAATTTTAACTTATTATTTAAGCATGGTAAGATCAACGGAAATTGTTGATGAATTTTCGTAGTGGATGATACGCCGTATTGATCCATTGCGCAGAGACCGACACGTAATTAGACACTCGTAGAAGTTAATTTTGGCAAAGTTTCTCATCGATCGTACTTACCCACTAATGGTACCATCAACGTATACACGGGCTGTGCTCCAGAGGTTGCTTTAGTAATAGTCTGCAATTGTGGCAAATAATCGATGAAACAATTGGTGTCTGGTACCAATTGTTTTGGTTTCACTTCTATTTCCACCGATACCGAAGATTTCTTTAAGATTGCCTGCAAAATACATTATTATATAATTATAATAAGAAATTTGTCAATCAATCGTTTAAAAATCAAATTAACAGAAATTAACAAGAAAATATAACTACTTCCATTAGGAGATAAATCTCGTTCGTTGGAGTATCGTGGGGAAAAAGATGGGTAGAGTTCATAGGATGCACCAGAAGACGCATTACCTTCCAATTGAATCCCACGTATGCGCACGATGGATCGCAAAACAGTCGCGCACACCACGGAGAACAATGTCGGCTTGGGACGGCACAACGCGAATGCCAAGTAACCATTGTTACGACAAAGGATAAGGAAAGTAATGAGTCCCCTAATGTCGCTTTAAGTCGTGGGACGATGATCGATATAGCATACGGAATTGCTTTAAACTGTCTCTTTAAAAAGTCACTTTATGGGGCTCTGATGTTTCCGTTTGTGGCTAGAACTACTTAGCATCTATGTCATTTTCTATTTTCTTGTAATAATTGTTAGTAATTTTCTCTTATTGTTGTACTCTTGATTTATGATTTATCTCATTCATTATTTCATCTTCTTCATAATAAAATATTTTCTTAACGAAAAGATTACAATTTTGTTAACCGTAAAAGAATGAATATGTATCGCGACGTTCCCTTGGTGACAAAACGCTCGGCTTGGTGGAAAGTATGCGAACAACTCGACAAGTCTAATTGCTCGTGAAAATACACGAACGGAATGCAAAAGTAGTAATGGGCTGTACACAACGAAATATATCTCGAAGATAATACGTAAATGTCACGCACGTATCGACGATCTTCTTCTATCTTCCTTTCTCTTTTTTGGCAAGAATTCGGGACATCTCAAGATTCAGCTTTCGTATCAATTCTCGACGCATCGTCAATCCGAGTATATTACTCGCAATTTCTATTCCGTGTGGCGCAATATTGGCATAACAGGGCCACTCTAGCACTTTCTGACGAATCTCGAGTCGAGTACGAATTCGATTTCTCAGTCCTTTTACTGATAGTTCGTTGTCGTTGGTAAAACGCGATCGATAAGTTAGCTTACTTATAGCCGATATGTCGAGTTGGTGAAGATAAAGTGTAGGATTTTAAACCCAGAAGGTAGAAAAATATTCGCTTTAAATTTCGATTTACGTGTACATTTATATATGGGAAATATTTTCTCAAAATAACACACAAAAGCTTTTAAAATTTGTCCGATATTTTCTATGAATGTTCGAAATATATTGGAAAGTGAGAAATCGAACAAAAGTCACTGTAAAGAAAATCGAATGTTAAGACTTATATAAATTGCATGGAATAATCGTGAATTACGTTGAAAATCATTTACAAGGGACAATAAGTCATCGTTATATGTTCGAGTAAAACTTACTCGTATTCGAGAGGCACTTGAATACCTCGCTACAGACGTAACATTCGCTCGACTAGACATCGACTCCGTGAATGAATGGGGACACCTGTTCCGATATTCAGGTGGGCACGTCGGGTTATTCATAAGCGAATATGTAAGCCGCTTGTTCTAGTTATGGGGGAACGGAGCTTTTTATCTCCAGTTGATCGGGACACGTGCATAAGTACCGAAAGGGAAAATAGACTATAATGATTTAAATCTAATGAAACTATTATATATATATATATATAAACTATATCAATTTCTTCATAGATTCGAACGTAGAATAGTTTTAAAATTGATAAGATTTATTAAAACATTATAAAATATAAAAATTAAATAAAAGATTTGTATTATATAAATTGAAGTTTAATTTACCGAAAATAATGAACATATAATGAAATTATTAGGATTGTCATACCTAATAATATTTGGACCATACAATATAATCATATTTAAGTGAAAGTATTTTTTCTAAATCCATAATTATTAAAATTAAAAAAATTTTTTTTATCGTACGAAGAAATGCACATTTTCAAAATGTGGTGGTTTTATATTAACAAGCATCTTCATTTCTAATAAGGAGGCATTCGTGATAGGTTTAGTCTAAGCACTTGGATAACTCAAGGTTTATAAAGCTGTATCCAGAAAAGTGAGAGATCTGGGTTTGTGTCTTGGTCCAGACCACTTGAAAATTTAATTTTATCGTGAATCCTAAAATTCGAAAATAAAGAAAGAAACATTAACATATTCTTATCAAAGAATATCTAAGAGTATTAAATAAAAAGATGTTAAAAGAAAAGTGCATGAAAGCTCATAATTCTTCTCATATCTTGTTATTTACACAGTTATTCGATAAATATACCATTTTTCTAATCTTTCAACTAAAGCACATCTCATCTGCTTTAACAATTTTTATTTCTTATTCTTATTAATCTCAAATATATTAGTCTATAATTTGAACATTACAAAATGCACAATCGTATAATCTTGTCGTTTATCAAGAAAACATCAACCTGTTAGTTACCGACATGATTTCTCTTTTCCGTGGCGCCTGCGGACACTTACGTTCTCAGACTCATTAGAACTTATGTAGTAGATAAAAAAATCTTTTACTCCCATTTGAAGTATTCTTGGATTCCTGAAGAGTGTTAGGTGGTACCGTTGTTTCATTTCCTCCTTCTCTTCTACAGCCTTTTTGAAACACACACCTTCGTTCTCGTTAATCGTATTCGTCACTTTTTCTTCTCACATACATATAAGATTCTACAAAGAAAGAAAGAAAGAAAGAGAGAGAGAGGGAGGGAGGAAGAAGAGAAAGAGAGGGAAAGAAAGAGAGAAAGAAAGAGAGAAAGAAAAAGGTAGCCCTTGTCCGATGAGTGCCTGGCTGGTCTGGCTGGTCTGCCCTCCTCAGTTGCCCTCTGCAGTTACCCCTCCTCGCCTCCTCCATCGTAGCTTCTCGTGAGAACCCGCCTTGTATCACGCATCGCGGTTCTAACGCCCGCGCATATTAAGTACACACCGACGTCCTTTCCATACACCACCAAGAAAGATCTCCAGCTCGTGGTAACATTGTAAATGCGCTACACTCGCAGAAACTTACTCGCACCATTAGGAGGGACGGCCAAGTATAAGAGCAAACGAGATGGAGAACACGCGTGGTTTGACACGGATGATGAGGAACCGACACGGGCCCTCTTTTTAAATTGCTTTCTTTCGTTCTTTCCTTTTTTTTTCTTTTTTTTTTTTTTTTTTATTAGTCTTTTTAATTTTATTTTTTTATTCTTTTCCTCTTATTTCATCATCCAGCTTGCTCGACGATTTTCACGAAGCGAATATGACTTGCTCCTTTCTTATTCTGTCTATCTGTCTGTCTGTCTGTCTGTCTGTCTGTCTCTCTGTCTTTCTCTCTTCCTCACACCTTCTCTTTTTTTACTATTTTCATTGTTATAATATAACAAGGAAAATTAATATTTTACGCAAAGCAATTTATCGTAAAATATTTAAATATGTATATTGCAGCGTTTTATGGAAAGTTTGAACGAAACGAATGTTTAAATATTTTCTAGTAATACCTGATTATTGATTATATTTGATATTCGTTGTTTATTAAATGCGATTGTAATCACATGAAATAATACCGTTTCAATTAACTTCAGATGAACGCAGCATATTTCAAAATCTTCATGAGAAACAACGATGTTCTGTGAGTTGTATCCATTTATAATATGTTTTAAATTAATTTTATATTACTTAAATAAGAAACTGATAATTTACATCAGGGGTGGACAACTTCTCACCATCAATCAATTCATTTCCTCACTACTTAAGTTTACTAGCCACTACTCCAACAGATTATCTATAAATAGACAGAAATACAAGCCGTGCATCTCACGAGCCACGGCGTAGCAGTATCGAATAATGGGGGTCGTCTCCTCCCATTTTACTGGAACAGGCAAGTAGAAGAAGGAACCACATGCGGGCCGTCAGTTACCCATCCCTGATCTACGTAATACGATAAAATATCAGATGTTACAATCTATGGTAAAGTGTACACTTGCAATTTAACTGTCTCGCACAGCAACAGTGTATTGACGACCAACTTATTAGCCGTAACATAAAGGTCAAAACCATATAATAAATTTATAAAAAATTACACCACAAAAATTATTCTGTAAGTTAAAAAATTAACATTATTTAAAAAAATAATAATAATAATAAAATTGTCCCAATTCACTGATTCTAATAAAGCATTATACGATTTATGAGAATTCGAGAAAAAGAAGAAGATAGATGCGCATCAGTACTGAATGAACAACATCAGATAACTATTAAATCAGGGGGAAAATTCGGTTGACGGCAAAGTGAATGAACAGCATATTAAACGTAAGCGATGCGTGTGCGTTTACAAGAGACATTTTTGAAAACTTAACGAAGGTGGGGGATAAGGTTTTAAAAACTTCGACGCTTGCGGAAACCTTTTCGCAACGGATGTGTGTAGAACGATGCCGATAGCTTGAAAATGTAGAGAGGCGGTGATATTACATTGGTGCTGGCAATGGTATTGGTGACGGGGGTACGGTAAGGATACGTTCTCAGCTCGAGACTACGAGGAATGTGCCTTGACACTGGCGAAGAACCGATGGAAGGCGCATACAAATATATTTACCGGTCAGGCTCTCGCCGGTTCCTCGCAGGAGGTAGGCACTAAGCTTTTTTTTTTTGTGTTTGTTTTTTTTTCTTTTTTTTCTTTTATTTTCTCTTACGTGTGCATGTACATGTACATAGGTATATCGAGCTGTAGTATCGTCACGGGTAACGCCCTTTTGTCATTCTATTCCGCGCGACAGCCTCTCGCGAGAAATTATCGTTCTTCCGATCGAAGCACGGAAGGAAAGCCGTGCTGCTGCTGCCCCTCTTGCACGCAGCTCTCGTTACCGAGTAATTTACGTACGTGATAGGTAATACTTTTTAGAGAAAAAGAGAAATTCAGAGAAAGAGAGAAAGAGAGAGAGAGAAAGAGAGAAAAGGAAGGGAGGAAAATAGAAAGATATAGAAAAGGAATAAGTTGAGTAACAAGTTAAAGTAAGGGACGTATTTGTCACGACGTTAAT